CGGACTAGGTGCGTTCTACATAGTCGCCCTGACAACAAAACCAAGTTGCGACAACGAGGTCAACCCATTTGTATAAATCGAAAAGAGACTACGACAATACCAGAGGCCACAAAATCTTGGTTTTCATATATTCAGTTGTGATAGGGCGGCAGTGGGATTAGAGGGTAAAGGTTGTATAGATAGACCGGGACAGAAAGACGAGTGATAGTGTAACCGTGTTCAGCAGAACATTGGTCGACGGATTGACTTGACTTGTCTCTTTGACAAGTTCGTAGCTCGGTTCGCAGAAGGGCAAAACTCACTGAGGATTCCGGCGAAACGTTTGAGAATGTACCAAGTCCACAGTCTGATGCTAGGAATCATGACAACTAATTTGGCATACAACTTCGGACTAGGTGCGTTCTACACAGTCGCCCTGACAACAAGACCAAGTTGCGACAACGAGGTCAACCCATTTGTATATATCGAAAGGAGACTGCGACCATACCAGAGGCCACAACATCTTGGTCTTCATCCCTTTGATTTAGTGTGAAGAGGCAAGCGGAAGCCGAAGAGGGTTGTCTTCGAGCTGTGACTGTAGATTTGTGTGAATATGTTCTCGGCGCACCGCCCTGCGACCTCGACTGATGGAACATGCTGAACAATAATTTGTCAGAACACGAAGACAAGAAGGCTCTTCGAACGAAAGTTCAACAAGGCTGCATCAGAGCTGCAGGCCAGTGGGCCGAGGAAATGTTGACACACATCTTCATTCACAGTTGCATAACAATCCGTCTACAGGTTCCGGTGAAGCTGACTTATGAATTGATTTCACACGTCTATTCAAGCGAAACGAAGGCTCTTCTTGCGACGAGATCAACTAGGTGGCCAAACAAAATAGCGAAGAAGCATGGGAAGATGTACCAACTTAACGGTCCGCTGCAGTACGAGTAATGAGTTGGGATCTGCGAGATCAGCGCAGATTCCACGGCCAATTAACGAAGACGAGGTCAGACCACGGTGAGGGTAAGTGCCAGGTTGGTCTCGACCCTGAATCATATGCGAGCATACGATTATAACCATGTGAAATTGAATGAAAACGTCAGCTCAATTCGTATCATTGTGGGAAAATTCTTCTACCAATCCTTCATCACCTTAAACGAAATTGATCTACTGA